CATTTGAATAATTATAAGTGTACACAATTTATATATGTTTCAATTCTTAATATAATGATTTTTTATGTAATAATTCCAATGCTATCTGAGCATAGTTAATTAATTGCTACAACCCCATTAGTATATTAACCAAATTATTCATTTAATATAAATGTTCTGGCAGATACTAATTGTAACAGAAACTGATTCAACATGAATCTGGCACTGAGAAATAGCAGCTTAATATTTATTACTACAATAGCTATTGTTACCGGTGAAGAGCTTAATAATTCCAATATTGCAAAACACTTCCGTCTACCGTCGAACGTTGTCCCGAAGCACTATGCCATACGGATAACTGAATTTATCGAAAAATATGATTCTAAAATGGCACAGCCGTCAAATACAAAACAAGGATACAGCAATTTTCTTCTTTATGGAGAATCCAATATAACCATCGATATCGTGCAGTCGACCCAAAGTATATATTTGCACACAATAAATATAAGTATAGGATATAATACGAAGGCAACGTTAATTAAAAACAATACAAATTATAAGAGTTATACATCAGATTTTTATATCGCTGAGAAAGACGTTATAAACATTTATTTCTCCGATGTATTACATCCCGGGCATTACATCCTAACATTGGAATTTGAACCTCAAAGTACGGATGACAACACAGAAAACTTCTTTGGAAGTTCTGACATAAATAAAGAAAAGAGTATAATGTAAGTAAATATCGATAATATACATATAATACGTATAACTAACATATGTATACATCCACTCAGCGCTGTTCTTTAGCCGCGCGGCCGCATCGACATATATACTACTGGACTGTGCCATCCATATCTAAACAATGTACTAAAATGGTCCGCGTCATAGAAAAGGATAGAGCGCATGTGCGGCCCAATCTCTGACTCTTTTCAACCAATATTGGATGGAAAGAGATAGATATCATTTTCACGTGGTATGCGCAAGTCCAGTAGTATATGTCGATGACCGGCCGTACGTCAGTGAGCAGCGCACCAGCTGGTATGAGCGCACACTCAGGCACGCGGTTCACTGACATACGCTCGGCTATAAAAGACAGTACTGGTTGAATTGACTTTACTCAATAATTACTATTTTACTAAGCATTATATAGAAAAAAATGGCCAGCACTTTTCAACTCAATTTTTTATAAAGAATATTGCTGTGTAATTAGTGAGCACGAGAATTTGAGATAACACCTTGTATATATTTATTATATATAATATCTATAATGTAATCATTCCTTACTGTTTTACACATAATAATTTCCATTTTATTAACATATAGAAATACTTATAATCAATTCTGTATACACTATATTCAAAATAATGAGGCTATTTGTACAAAACTAATATTTTCAATTTTGGTGTATGATGATACCATTTAAATCTTTGTCTCATACTTTAATTATGTATGTATTATTATATAACTTTATTTAAGACAATTATAAAAAGTATTAAATTGTGGAAGGTTTTTGCTATCACCACACATTCAAGTGGATGGAACCCGACGATTGTTTCCTTGTTGGGATGAACCACACTTCAAGACCACGTTTGCAATTTCCGTAAAGCATTATCGCAATCTTACGGCCTTATCCAACATGCCGATAGAAAGCAAAAATATGGACGATGATGACTTTATGTGGACACACTTTCAAACTACTCCTCCAATGTCGATTTATCAAGTTTCGGTTGTTGTGACAAACTTTTCTCATATTCATATTAACGAAAATATCAAATTATGGTGCGAGAATTGCTCAAGATTGCAGTCACTAAAATACGCCGAGGAAGTTACAAAAAATATCACGTTGCAATTGAAATCTGAATTTAATGGAATAAAGATTCCGAAAATGGATCATATTGCAATTCCGAATTTTCCGCACGATGGCACATCGAAGTGAGGACTCATCTTTCACAGGTTGATCACATGATTTTAGATATAAAACAACAAATTGAGTAATACAATTATTAATATTATTTAAAATTACAATATCTAAGTATACAAATTTTTTGCATAAATTTTAATTAATTATAAAAGATGAATAAACTGAGTAATTAATATTATTATATAATATTAATTGACTGTTAAACGTTTTAAAAAACATTGAAAAAAAAATTTGATTATACCTATCAAATTAATTCAAAAAGTAGACATTTCACAATACATTACATATTTAATAACAAAAAGTTTATACGAAAAATGAAAGTAACTAACTTTGTAGAGTCATAATTTAATGTTTTAAAATTGTATGCTGCAGTTTAATTTTTTTTAAACATTTTATACAATTTAGCAAATAATGTCGACGCGTATAAATCAAATAACATTTGACTTTAAATAAAGAAAGATTTTGTAAGTAAGCAAGTTTATAATAATTTTCAGAGAAGCTGATCTTATCTATGATGAGAAATTAGACCCACTTATGCGCAAAACAAAAATTGCACACTCCATAGCACCTAAAATAGCATATCAATGGCTTGGTAATGTAATCACCCCATCTTGGTGGACAGATTTTTGGTTACACGACGGCCTTGCTACATTATTCGGAGAAAAAGCTATCGCTAAGGTAATTTTATATTTTCTAATTATTGAAAATATAATGTCAAAGATATACAGTTTCTGGCCGTATTATTAAACGCACTTTAAATTTTTTATACAATTAATTGATTTCTCTGAATTACCTAGGTATATAATACCGCTTATCTATCATAATTATAATTCATCACAATTGTTAAGAAACCATTGTTCTATATGAAAAGCAGTTATTTGTTTATGATGTCATTTTACTTGAAAATGTGTGCACACGGACACGGGTGAAAAGAGAAGTTGCAAAGAAAGGTTAACATAAGAGATTATGAACAAAAACTCAGCTAATCAATAAAATTATTTACAGATTATCACTCACGACACCCACACACAGATGTAGGAAAAACAATACAATCATGTATTAATAGTATTAATTATGTATTAATAGTATGCCATTGTGAATCAAAACTTAATAACCACTGAAAGCGGTTTGACTAAATATTAGAAATATATATATTGCTTGCCTGCCTAAATCAAATATATTTGATAAAAATAATTAAATAAATAATTATTGTTATCAAATATATGTGTTTTATTATTCATTATTGTTCAAAGATATCAAGGGTTTTTTAGGCATGTAAAAATAAGATTAGTAGCTTTTTTTCCTCGCAATCTGAATTCTATAAAAAAATTTAGGTGCGTCTAATAATATTACTATTATAATAGGGACTACATATTTAAAAGTTATCCAAGATGCTCCCATTCCGTAAGCCTAGAATAACGATGGATTATGTTAAAAACTTCTTGGAAAAATTATAATATAGTAAGAAATTTATAGATAAAAATTTTATGTACGTTGAGGATGGGATAATATTAAAAGCTTGGTAAAAACCTTTGTTATCTAATTTTGACAATATCTAATTTTCCAATTTTTTAACATCTTATTTTAATAATTTGTTATTAGTTTTAATATTAGTTTAGAAAACAACACAATCTTTATAACAATAATGAGCATAGCAATATTTACCAGAATGTAAACATGGCCAATCCAGTATTCATACAATTATTAAACTTTACTTTTAGGTCTATAATAATTCTCAGATGATGGATTTATTCATAGTTCAGAATCAATACGATTCTCTTTATTTAGATTCTCATTTTGATATGAATCCTCCAGGAATTAACAGCCTATCGAAAATTGATTCAATTTTTAGTTCTCCCCATTACATGAAAGGTAAGAATAAAAAAATATTTAAAAAATTGCATACATCTTTGTAAAAGTACATATATTATTTAAAAAAGAATGTAAAGGAGCATATAATTTACACTATTTAAAGCATGAAATTTAACTATAATGTGCATACCAATAATTATAGTAATCATTGTCTTGCGAATGCTGCAAAACGAAATTACCGATGAAGTATTTCGAGAAAGTAGCTGTACATTGCTAAACAATTAGTGAGTAATACAAACAAATATAGCTAAATACTGCAAGTACATTAATTGCTATGTTGTTTTGAAAAAGTTGTACATTTTTATTCGCATTACTCTCTGTATATTTGAATATTCTTCATTATCTTTCGTTCCCATTTCTTCTGTCCTTTAACTATATTTTCTTGCTCTTTTTATATTCCTCTAATTATTATATTTTAACGTACATCTTCAAATTTTTATATCTTAATTTATTTATTTTTATCTGTATATTCTATTCATTTTCACTAGTTTTATCGAATTCTATCATTCTTTATTCAATTATTTGAAATAAATTAAATTGTAGCGTACGTATATTAAATTGCAAATTTTTACTAGTTGTATTGTAAATTACAATATTATTACAATATAAATTATACGATATACTATCTATATTTGTAATATATGACTGTGTCAATATTGCATCATAATATATATAAACATATAAGATAAATTACAATTTTATATTGATAATCGATATTAAATTGATTGTACTATTTACTGTCAATAATAATAAATTTTTGCATTTAGCACGTTTTGCGCATTGACTCCCAATAAATTTTGGTTCATGCAAGAAGATTTAGCTAATTTGTCTCAATATTACACATCACATGATTTCCAAAAGTGGATAAGATACAGACATTACCCTGTTATACGCTGGACACATGAAAACCCTTTCTACGGATCATTGACGCAATATTTCAATACATCGAGTTACGGTAAATGGTGGATACCAATAAATTTAGTAACAAAGTTTTCCTTACGAAGAGCCGTTAAGATATTGCTAACACCGCGAGAGCCGTTTGCAAAAGTACATTATTTTGGGCGCCCTGCTGAAGATGATTGGATAATGGTTGACATTCGGCAAGCTGGTAAATATTTACCGAGGCGGTTTGTCATATATACCTATGATTATTTTCCTAAATTAAATTTTTATTATTATAATCATATTTCTTGCTTATATAAATATTTAGTAAATAATTTAGGCACAAAAATTTAATACGTTAAAAAACATGTAGTAAGCTATTTTATTATTGCATTATTGCTTCAATGCAGATATTATTTTGTGTTTAAATTTACTGTTATTTTCGCATATTTGAAATTTATTGAAGTGTATTATAACATCACTGCACTGTTGGAAAATTTGTGTTTAATATAACATAAATCACATATGTCCCAAACGGTCCACTCAAGTTTTTGTGTTAATTTAACATAATATGGATGTGTTAAATGGTAACACCGATACTATGTTAAAATATTTTCACAGAAAGGAAATGTAATTCTGATCGTAATTTGTGGTTAATTATGTGTACAATTAACATAACTTTTATGTTGAAGTTGAGATTGTAAGATAAAATCAACAATCTTTTTCTGTAAATTTTTATTCCCACTTCTATTATATATAGAGTAAAATCAACACTTTTCTTCTGTAAATTTTAACACATTTAATATACGTTCAAATTGTGTTACTTTAACATACTTTTTAAATTATTTTAATAATTTTACATTTTAAATTTGTTAAGTTCAATTAACATAGCAGGCATATGTTAAATCTACACATGTATGTGTTGATTACTTTACACAAAAATTTTAACAAGGACTTTTTTTAACAAAACTACAAAAATTTCCCAACAGTGTAAATATTATATAAAATTCTTATTTCTTTGAAGTGACTTCTGAAATTATTAGTAAAATTATCATTAGTAAAATAATAAAAAGATAAACATAAATAACGTATATTTGTGTGAAAGTTCTAGTATGTGTGCATAGGCACACAAGCATGTGCAAGTGTAATCACTTCTAACCTATCTTTCATGTATATAGTTTTAACATCATAAGAAAGAAAAAAAATAAGAAATAAACGCGATAACATTTATCTCAATATAATCGCGCAAATATAATTATTGTTAAATATTTTTATTATACAACAGGATATTATCGCGCCGATTATGATTCAGAAAACTGGCTCAAAATTGCACGTTACCTAAGTTCTGGGGAATATAAAATTGTAAGTGTTATTAATCGTGCGAAAATCATTGATGACGTGTTTCATTTCATGATTACGCGCCAAATCAATTCATTTATATTCTGGATTGTCACGAAATACTTATCGCGAGAGACAGATTACGTAGCATGGTATCCTATGTTTAAAGTATTTGAATATATATCGAGTGTGTTTCCGTTGGCAAGAGTATATAGGAAACCAGCGTCAAAAGAACTTAATTTCATTAATGTTAAGGTAACGAACAACAGTTATTAATTAATTAATTAATTCATTCATTCATTAATTAATTCACCAAACATAATAATTAAATAATACAAAAAACATTAAATATTAGATGGGATGTAAAAAATTTTTTATACCAACAATTGTTAAGCAATTTTCAAATGTAACATATGTGACTAAAGTGATTCTATTACAATTCTTCACAATCCCATTTTGATATTAAATATCAGAAATTTCGAAACAAAGTATTGTCTCGGCATTATAGTTTGAATGTCACATTTTATTTGTATAACGATAAGCGTAGAGTTATTTTACCGATATTAAGATTACAAAAATATACTGAAAGTTTTTTAAGACGCACATATAGATCATGTCTTTTGTAAACGTATAACTGCAATATAAAATTTATATTAAATTTCAGGAAAAAATGAGAGAATTATTAACTAAGCCTCTGGAGATACTAGGATTTGAAGATCGTCCGATAGAAAGTGATTTTACTAAATGTCTGAGGCAAGAGATCGTAAAATGGGCATGTATAGCTGAATTATCTAAGTGCTTGGCAAGAATGAAGCAAGAACAACATCTAGAACATTCTGAATTAGACAAGTAATATTTTTGTGTAAATAAAATTATTAGTTATAATCCTTAACGCACAATTATTATCTTAGTAAAAATTGTAAAATTTTTCCAGAGTAGAAGAAATAGACGTACTGTAGGGGAACTGTGCCTAATATCGCTTTTCCTTGTTCCTAATTTTGTACTCTACTATTGAGACTCTTATGCATTGCATTCTGTTATTTCACGTACGTAAGTAGAACAAAAGAAGTCAAAATGATGTAAATTTGACGTCATATTGACCAACAAGTGACGTAAATTACAGTCAATATGACGTTAAATTTACATCATTTTGATTCTTCAGTTCTACTTAAACTTAGGCAATGAGCAGTAGAACCTGTTGAACAATGCTGCTTTGGATGATTTTTTGTTTTACTTTAATCAGAACTGTGATATAAAGCATAACGTGGCAGATCATAGTTTCAACGAAGTTTAGAAATTTTGCAAGAGGTATCTTCCGTTATTAATACAGCAAAAAAAAATATGTGCTAAAAATGAATTTCTATCATGAAAACATGTGATATTATGTCTAATTTTATTTAATTCCTAATTTAGAGATATTTATTACTAACCATTGTTGTGATGCCTTAATCGGTTATGTTTCTTCCTTGTGTGTGTGTCCTAATTCGGCCCTCTAGGAATGTTCACTATACCGCCCATTTTTTCTAACTGGTCTTCCTCTAGAATACCTCTAAAGCTCCCTCAGCTTCCTGCTGTGCCAATGAGTAACAGGATCTTTTTTCGAGAGTCAATCGGCCAAACAAAATGTTGATCGCATCATCCCATGTTCGTGAAACTCCATGGGCTTCCTTAATCATTAAAAGGTGTTGGCAGAGAGCGCAATATGCCTTTAATATGCAGAAACAATTGTGGAAAGGAAAATAATATCTTGTCACCTTGTGCTTATATAAACTCGTCTATTACGTTTATGTAGCGATACAGATAAATTTCCAATGGAAGAAGTATTCAGCTATCGCGACAGTACATCGATAATCGTGACATCCATATCCTAATCGATATCTTTCACCTACACTCGATTCTATTGCACCAATAGCAGGGTGCATCAAATATCTATCAAAAGGGAATATCTTTACCAATTTTATTTTGAGTTGTGTTTATTTCTAGCATGTATTGTGTGTCATAATTGTATTTTTAATAAATATATGTAAAGGTACGATATTACGAATACATTTTTATATGTCGTCAGATGCTACTTTTTCTGTTTTCCTTCAAAAAAGATAGTTAAAGTAAACTTTGAACATTCATGCCATGGAGATCACATTAAGACAATCTTAGAATAAAATAAAGTGGTTTGATTATATTTTTAGTCAAAATTTTAGTTTTATCAAATAGGGTGCGATATTAGGCACAGTTTTCTTAAAAGTCTTATTGGTCTGATTACATGAACATTTCTAACAAAAGTATTGCATAACTTTGAGGGCAGTAAATATGTTGAATTTTTTCCTTGTATTTAAGATGATGTAGATATGATATTCCACTTTCATAGCTTCATATATTGGAAAGAATCAAGACAGAATGCAACAAAGGAAGACATCAATGTTTATGTCAGAACTTTCCAGCACATTATTGCAAAATATGCTAAGAACGAGGCCGCTCTTTATAGAATATTATGGAACTTGCAGTACATCAAACCACCGTAATAATAATTTTTCTATAAATTTATTCTGTCTATTATAATATGTATTGATTATAAATATGCAACTGTTTTTAGAGAAATAAGTACAGCTGCAGGATTAATTAATATTATAAACCACATATACAATACAACACTGCTTGGTATGGTAAGTTTTATAAATCAAAACATTATATTTACTTATCAAAAATTCTATTAAACATATTCGCAGTACATATATCTGCGAATATAAATACTATAACTTGTATATATGTAGGTACCTATATGTTACCGTTAAAACCCGAAGTCCGTCAAAATCCTAACTTACTGGGAAATTCTAGTTTTAACTAACTAATTTTCTTGGTAATTCGCGTTCTATAACTGAAATAATTTCGTTGAAACTAAAATTAACGGTAAATATTGACAAAAGAGGACCCAGCTTCTATAAAATTGACATTGACATATATGTATTATAGAGGTAATCTTCCTGAGTAACCTTTAAAAGATTTTAGCCGTCACTCGTCTTTTATTAAGATAGTTAATCCGTAAATCGCAATTTATAAGAAAAATTTGAAAATTTTACTATATGTAAATAAATGTGGTATCTACACGTCAGTACAAATTAAAAGTAATTGACCGTCCCGAGCGCGAGATAATCGCTATTAAAAATTGCATTTTTTCCGTGTATTGCATGCACAAATAAGCATACAAAAATCTCGTATTTTGAATTTTAATAATTAAAACGAATCTTAAGAAAGTGATGAAAAACGTAAATATAGTAGAAGGAACTTCAGGAATATTAGTAAAAAAACCGAAATTATTGGCCGTTTAGATTTAGAAATACAATAATAAATAGACCTCGATTTTCGTGATTTTTTGACTGGAAGCAAAAAAAAAGAATATAGTCTTTTGTGTGTGTGAAGGACAGAACTATTCACAACCTTAAAAAGTTATTAACAAATTCAACTAAAAAATATAACAATTTGTGTCAGTACTAATGGAAGTAATTTGCTGATTATATTATGTGTGTGTATAGGCAGTGCACATGTAGGCGAGGATGGATAGGGGTGGATCTCGATTTGCGTGGAAAGTTGAAAACCTAAACCATACAGTGATAGACCTCATTTCGCC